AAAGGTGCCAACCTTGATTGTCTGGGGTTAAGTCTGTATGCAGACTTTAGGTACTCCAGGTTGTGATCAGTCCAAACAAAAAGCAGTCTTGAACCCCTCTAACCAATCTCTCCATTCTTGGAGAGCCAACTTGACAGCTAACAATTCTCTTGCCCCGACATCATCGTTCCTTTCTGCACTTGAAAGTTTCTTTGAAAAGAAACCACATGGGTGGATTTGCACATCCCTAGCCTCCCGACTGAGGACCCCCCGATTCTTGTACTGGATGCTTCACCTCAACAATAACTGGTGTGGAGGTGAACAGGGCCTTAAGTCTTTGAAACGCTCTATCAGCCTGATCATTCCAACAAAACTTTAGATTAGCAGAAGTGAAGGGGCAACCTGACGGTAGTTTCTGATGAATCTCCTTAAAAATAAGCATATCCCAGAAAAATTTGCAGTTTTTTTCCTATGCTTAGGAACTGGCCAGTCTGTGACTGCGTGCACCTTCATAGGGTCCAAAGAGATCTGATTACAAAATAAAATAAATAACCGGACTTTGTCCGTAGGAGGTAGCCCATCTGTGTTGAGCTGTGACCTGGATGACTGAGAATCTTCACCGGCATAAAACATGCTATATATCTTGCAGTTAAATACCTTTGTGACGGTAACTTCTTAAACTAATGTATTTCATATTGATAAAACAACACTTTGTAATGATTTGTAGTTATTGTAGTCTATATGTGGTATATTTCCTGTTTGGGGAAAGGGGTCCTGAAACGCCACACCCACAGAGACATCTGCAAAAATCTGAGGTTCCAGCTGCTGCCACCAGTTAATTTATCACAGGGGCGCTTGGGTTTAAGGGTAGCAAAAGTGTGTTTGTAATAAGCTCCATGGTCTGACTACTCAGAATGACGTTTTTCTTGTCCATCTATGCACAGAACATACCCCACCAAAAACTACAACATGAGTTCCCATAGTCTTCTACAACCCATAGAAGTGCAGTTCTCTAGAAACTGATGCTGGTTTAACTCAACAACTTACAATTTGACAAAATGATGTGCAGAATCTTTGGTTACAGACATGTTTTCCTAAAACCAACTTATAGATTGACATTGCCTTGGACAAAGTCACAAGGGAAAATCTGGTGTTGGAGAGTTGTCTTGCAATGGCTGCAGACATGATTAAGCAGTTTTTTGAGATTGCTTCAGGTGAGATAAATGTGATTTGACTTTGGTTGTAAACAAAACATGTATAGAAATAAGTAATGCCTTGAGTGCATCATATAGTTGGTTTCTATTTCAGTAAAATGTCTATACAGGAAATGAAATCAAAGGTATTTTTTGTTAAAATCAACAATGAGTTTTGTCATAGATTAGGAATGTTTAGGAATGTGAGCTATGTGTTTACCTGTGTTTCTGAAGCCTGCAGCTGTGATAGAGGCATGCTAATTTGTGCTTTTCTGTTTCTCTATATGAACATGCTGTGATCTGGGGGACAAAATACACTGCACTTTTGGACTTTAAGCAGATATTTGGAGCTTAAGTAGGTGTGGGTTTAGTATATTAGTGGGTGAAATTTAGGGAGGGGGTATCTTTCCTTCTTCAGATGGAGGAGAACCAAGCTTGAGGTATAGACATTAGTCACAGTCAGTGTTGGGTAAGTTACTTTAAAAATGTAATCCATTACAGTTACAAGTTACCTTGTTTAAAATGTAATTGTAGTGTAACTTTTTCGATTACTTTTAAAAAGTAATGTAACTAATTACTTTTGATTACTTTTTGATTACTTTAAGGTTTTAATGAGTATTGACCCATGTTCAACATTTAATTTTTGAGAACTGAATGTGAACCTTAAAAAAGCACTAAGCTGAGAGGGAACTGCTGACAGGCAATCACAGGATGTCCACAAGAAGAGATGCCAGCACCAGGCATGTAAGATTTTCTCAGACTCCTCTCATCGGGCCATACTCTTTTCTTTTCCTCCCCCAGGCTCTACCATTTACGCAGTTTGCAGACTAACACAAGCAGGTTCAGAAACCACTTCTTTCCTACAGCAGTCACCTTATTGAACTCTTCCCAAAGACCAGTCTTTCCTTCCCCTCTATCCATACCTTACTGTACCATCCCAACATTTGTACAGTGTTTCTCTTCAATTCGCATCTGTACAGCCCTATCTACAATATCGAAGTTTCACTACTGCTCTCTAATTAGAGTATCTTAGTGGCACACATCCGATTGAACTATCTGGAAATTAAAGGTGCCAATAAAGTTAAAGCTGAAATATTTTTCACATTTTTATTTCAAAAAATATACTGCAGTTGACTGTTTTAATTAGTGTTTGGCTATGTAAAACAAATGGCTAATCTTGGCTACATGAGCTCTCTATGGCAGGGGTCTTCAACGTTTTCTAGGCCAAGGACCCCCAAACTGATGGCGAGATGGAGCGGGGACCCCTAATTATATATATTGTATGAAATTGTGTTTTATCAAACTGGTCCTATAGTCACTCTATTACAGATGGAGTAATGTAATAAAAGTAATTTCTCCCTGGGATCTTCTGCCTCTATTTATCTGTTCACTACAGTGTGTTGAATTCATGATAAAGTGTATTTAAAGATATTTCAATTACTGGAAAAAATTGCAGTGGGGAATATAAAAAAAAAGTCTAATTAACCGAAACTTTCGTGACCCCCATGCAGTACCTCTGTGGACCCCTTGAGGGTCACGGACCCCCTGTTGAAGACCTCTGCTCTATGGCCAAGAACCTTGAAAATCACTCATGCTTTTTTTTTTATTATTGATCATGTGCTTTAACACGCAAAGTTAAAAAATTTAACTGGCTATGATGCACTTAGGTATGTAGGTGGGCCTATACATACTCTTTAAGTCTCTTAGTTCACACTGCACCCTGAAGTGACTCAAATTGGATTTTTTTGGTCCATATGCAACCTGTAGCTGATCTTTTAATGGCTGTCTGAACAACACAGATCCGATTTTTTCCAATGTGACCCAGGCCACTTGACTATGTGGTCCTGAATCTGATGCCAATCTGATCTTTTCAATTGCGACCTGTGTCTGAACAGGTCGCATTAATCCGACCTAAACCCCATTAATTCCTGACAAAGGTCACTATTCTGTGTCTTGCTATGAAGAAGCGGCAAGAAAAACAACAACCATGGCAGACGATGATGCGGAGAGCTGTATTTATGTTTAACCATATTGAAAAGATTGTGTTTTTATGGTTGGGAAAGATTACTAGATGCGCTCCGGCACTACCATCCATGTTTACTTCCGTAAACACAGAGCACGCTGGCCTGTGACATCATTGCGTCCTCTACTGCGCTTGCAAGACATTTGCGTTGTATGACTGCAGTTCACATAGGAGATCACATACATGTCGTATATATTTGGAAATGTGAACGGCAGCGCAAAAAAATTGGATTTCACAAAAGAATTGAGCATCAAGGCCTGCAGTGTGAACGTAGCCTTTGATGTCTAGAGACTGAAACAAAAATGTAATCCATGTCTCACTTGTGTTGAACAAAATAAGTCACACACTGACATCCCACTTTTTATTCAAACAGAACCTTTTTTCAGTCTTGAAAAAGACCACAGTACGCAAAAAAACAGTCAAATAATTTTGAAATATACAAAAAATAACATAGCAAATATAGTTTTGTTTTCAGCGTTAATCAAAAATAGGTTTTAATAATAAAAAATTACTGAAATATGAAGGGTAAGAGGAAGCTGAGTTACTACCATTATGTAGAACATATTCATGCAAATAAATCTTCACTTAGAACTGTTAAAGGTCCAATATTATTCTATATTTGAGAATAAAAAAATATTAACAATTGGGCCCCCATGAGCATGTTTTTGCCATTTGTGCAGGAAAATTATTTTCAGATTAGGCAGTCATCCTTTACCTAACATCTTTTTATTAAGCCCTCCTCTGGGCGAGCTGTTTTAATTTCCCCACCCCTGCGCTCCCAAAGGCAGTGTCCCCACAACCCACAATCATGACAAACAGCCCGTTCTTACAGATAGCCTAGGAGCCTGGAATGATACATTAGACGAAGGCCATAGCTTGTCTGCTGGGCTGCAACATATTTCCTCTTATGACATCTTAAGAGGAAATTTTTCAAGCAGACCATTTTGAGCAAAAAGCTAACAGGTGGACAAAGGCAATGATGGAGGTCAAAGGATTTTTTTCCTACACAGGCTTCAGGACTCATATGACTGTTACAAAATATTTAAAATTGGAATTTTTTTCATAATATTGGACCTTTAAGTAAAAAAACTTAAAACCCACTTTAATCACAAGACTGGCTAAAATGTATTTTTTTTCTTTAAAAAACTGGCTTAGATAAAAAACGAATCAAAACCCAATTAAAAAGAATAAATGCATATATCTATAAAGGGATATAAAGATATATTTTCTATAACAAGCCTTCTAACATCAGTAATTACATTCTAAAATAAAACCTTATCTTAATTCATTTTATTCTATTTTAAATATAGATAACACCACAAATCAACACCTTCACTTTAGAGGAAAATATCCCTTAACATCAAAGCTCAACAAAAAATATCTTTCCCCTTTTGATTATAGTCCCCAATACCAAGTTTATTAAGTGGAATTTTTATAATTATGGGCACGTCACATTTTTTACTTCATCCCATTATGCAACAGAAAACAGGGTTGCTTGTATTGAGAGTCTAGAGCACACTCAAGAAATAGAAAAGCATTTGTGGCACGCTCTTCTATGGCTAAGTGATACATTTATTGATTGATAAATCCAATTTGCTGTCTCTGAAGTATTATGATGTAATTTTTGAAAAATATATATATTGTTGTCACCGATCTCCATGCCCTTGGTATCATTTGGTTACTTTTTGTTTGTTGATGTCATTAGACTCAAAACTATTGAGTTTTTATCAACATTAAGAATGAATTTAGCATTTTTTTATTGTTGTAACTATACTTTTAGCTGTATGTGAAGCTATAAAAGATTTTCACCCATTGTTCTGGCCTTATTCACATTACCCAGCTGTTAGGGGTATAAATTAGCAAATCAATATCTATAAAAACGTATTAGTAACAATTAGGAAATTAATAATGATTGCCTTAAAATAGCTGTTCTGCTGCTGTCAAATACAGCTCAAAGAAAAGCAGCACTTATGCATTGATCATTCCGTCATGTATCTTCTTATATTTCTCGAAGTGAATTTGGTCAGCTTTCAGAGTCTCCTTAGTCGTCTTCTTGCAGTAGATTCTGATTATTTTCTCGCTGAATGTTCCTGGAAGAAGGTTAGAAACCTAAAAAGTAAACAAGAAATATTGTATTAAATGGAGGAATGAAAATTGTTAAGGAAAAGAGCTTGTATAAATTCCCTACAGTTTGAGTATAGCATAAATAAAAATTGATACAGATTCAGAATCTACAGATTGGAAGATTTAAAATTTTACAGTGCTATGTTTTATTCATACTTGATTTTTATCCAGTTTGAAGGGCTTTGTTGGATTGTCCTTTTTGTAGAACCACACATGCTCTATTGGGTCATTTTCCTTCATCCCATAGTTTATTTCTTTTACCTACAAAAGAATGAAATTTAGGTCAGCAAATACAATAAATAACGCAAAAAGCAATTCAATTCCTGGGATTGAATTACAACTAGAAAACAAATGTTAATCTTAGCAGAATTGTCCTATTTACATATGTAGATATTCTGTCTAATGTGAAAAATTGTAGATAAAAACTTACATCAACGACAAAGTCTTCTGGCTGCAGATTTTCGGTGCCACCTTTGGGGTTGTTTATTTCCAACTGTTCCCATCTGTTTTTTATTCCCTTTAAAATAAGTGGAGCATTTACTATACAACAGGTGAAATCTAACTAAGTATTGAACACACAATTTTTCTCTGTAAATATATTTCTAGAGGTGCTATTGACGTGACATTTTCACCAGATGTCATTAACAATCCATACAATCCACACATAGAAGAGTTGTCCAACAATTGCTTCAAAGAAAACAATAATAAATGCACTCAGCCACCATGGCTGGTATGCATGCTCGCCATGCAAGACTCCATTGCTTAAGAAAAAGCATGATGAAGCTTGATTAAGGTTTGATGCACAGCATTTAGACAAGCCTGTGAAATACTGGGAGAATATAGTCTGGTTAGATGACGTAGGGCTGTTTTTCAGCACTTCAAATGATTGAAGGAGGGATGAATAGAAAAATGTACAGAGACATTCTTGATAAAAATCTATTACCATTTACCAGGATGATGAAGGTGACATGTGGATGGACATTTCAGCTAGATAATGACCCCAAGCACACACACAAGGAAACTTAATTGGTTTCAGTAAAAGAAAATAAAGCTGCTAGAATCAGCCAGCCAATCACTTGACATAACTCCAATAGAAAATCTATGAAATGAACTAAAGATCAGAGATCATAGAAGAGGCCAACGAAACCTTCAAAATTTGAGGACTGTTCGTGTGGAAGAATGGGCCAAAATCAGACCTGAGCAATGCATGTGATTAATTTCTTTATACAGGAGGCATCTTGAAGCTGTCATGGCAACAAAGGCTTTTGTACAAAGTATTAAATGAATTTCTGTAACTGTCTAAAGTGGACTAATTAAACCTTGTTTATAGCTTAAAGAGCAAAGGAAGCCATCTGAATATTGTTTCCTGTGATTGGTCCATTGTAATCTCTAGCTGCCAATAGCCATTGCTGTTGTCTGAGTACTTTAGTGTTAGATGAGCAGAAAGTTGACGAACTAGCCTAATCGTGCGAGACCATTTAGAGCTGTTTTTTCAAGAAACTGGGAGTGTTTAAATGAATAAATGTAAGTTTGTCAGTAGACTAGCAAGATTTGTATATCTGTGCAGCTTAAATATATAGCAATTTAAACAGTATGCAGTTTGTGATTTATTTGAGGCCTCTTGCTGCCACCTGCTGGACAAATTAGAAATGACTATTAATGGCGAGTGAAAATTATAATTTCCATTTGTTTCTTTTTTCTGTATTTCTTGCAGACCACTCTCAGCTCTATTAAAGAAAGTTTGGACCTGAAGCTATTACTTCTTTAAAGAACTAATATTAAATAATGGGAGCACATGTGTGTGTGTGTTTATAAATATAAGTAATTACTTATACCCTAGGAAACTGCTGAAAAAACAGAGATTTTCCTACAGTCCTATTGAAACCAGGCATTCAAACTGTTCAACCACTTAAATTTACCAATTACAAAAAGTAAGTTTTCTGTATATTAATGTAAACATTACTTCATAATGAACTTATTTATATTGTATCAATATTTTCCCTTAGTCTTTATAGACTTTCCCACAGACCCAAACTTACTGTGTAAGACTAAAACTATAATTAGACAAACAAAGACTTGCTGAGTCATCAACACATTTGAACTATCATGTACAACCCACATCAGCTGTGCAGCAACTCAAATGCTTACTTCAAGTTCTTCTTTGGATCCCTTAGAGATTAATTCTCCCAGACAGCTGTAGAGATCTCTGCGATGTATTCTCTGTAGTATGGCCTTTGCATCATCAAGTTTGCCTGAAGAGTCGTTTAGTATCTTTTCAAATACATCATCTAAAGGGCAAAAAGAAAGGGGAAAAAAATAAAAACAGGAACAATGTTGTCAGAAAATTTCTATCTCTCTTCTATTATATATTAATTTATCCTATTTACTCTATAAAAGTTTTCACTCAGTCTGTTTCTCTCTCAAGGCCACACCATTCTCTGCAGGATGGTGTTTGTAGACCAGACAGAGCTTCTTCCCATAACAAACCAGATTCTTTCTCAAGGTTTATTCATAACATGTTACTGTTAACCAAAGTGTTCGTAATTTGTTTTGACTTTGACTACTTTCCATTGTTGTAAGTAAGGGGGAACGAACCCTGTCCAGATCAGAACAGAGCAGAATGCTGTGCCATAAGGGCTTCATGATGACTGTTCTCTCTTTGCAAAGATATGAATAAATGTACCGACTGAGTGAATCCATCGATTTCCGTTTATTTAACTAGGATGAATAGTTGAATACCTTTTTCCCACGACAAACACACAATCAATTAGGCATGAAGGCAAATTCATTTCCATAGCATAGTTCATTCACAGTATCCTAAAATGCAACTAAAGCCAATGAAATGGTACCTAATTTATGCAAAGAACAAATAAACAGACAAAGAGATGGATATGGCTATCAATTTAATAGCTGGTGTATTAAAAAAAAGAAACTGACATGAGATGCACTTTGAGCTGATTAGGGGTTTCTAATATTGAAAGAGCTTTGTTTAAAATAATAGCAGTGAGCAAGTTTAATACATGAGGTAAATGATTCCTTGAATAAAAAAAACATGAGTTAAATTTCTATCCTTTGCTTAAAACCAAGCCAATGTTGCACATGCTATTTGAAGTGCAAATAATTATGAATTAAATTTTGGTAGAAAAAGTTTGCTCTGAATATTGTTCAGAGGAACCATGTACTTACTAAAGTTGATTCAAAAGGGTAACGATATAAGAAAATGACTGCATAGCGCGAATGCTTTAAAATCAAATCCATACTAGAAATATAAGCAAGTGAATAGAAAAGTAAGATAGATAAGATAATAGCCCAGGTGATGATTAGTCAGCTGCAGGGAGAGAAAAGTTACATCAAAGTTCTGAAGTTACCAGCAGTGGGTGGAGTACCCCAAAACTATAGACAAGATAAGGTTGCAGTACTTCATCAAGTTTTAACTGAAGTAAAAGTTTAAAGTAGCTCTTCAAGAAATTACTTGGATAAGAGTAAAAATATTAAAAGTATGAATAACTGCTCGACTGACAACTCATGATCAAAACAACTGATTCAATACTTTGAAAATGATGTAAAGTAATTTAGAAATGATGATGTTTCAAAGAATATGATGAAAAATAAATATATAACTTACAGTTATTAAACAATTGTATGTAGAAGGAGCACCTCAAAATATTATCAAACCATTTCAATTAATCAAAATTATTAAAGTATGTTGGAATAGGGTAGGTTACAGTTTACACTATGTTTTACTCATCCTCTGAGGGACACAACAGACTCAGATAGAAAATGAAGATTAAATGAAAATTCAACCTGGAAGAATTTTATTCAGCCTAACCTGGAATGCCAACTGAAATGCCTTACTCAAGCTTCAGCCAATCGACGGAAGACTGTACCCTCTCCAAATTCATTCGTTTCTCAAGACACTCTTCATCAAGACGAAGGCCCAGCTTCACCATTTAACGTTTCAGTTGAACTTTGACCCACCTCCACCATCTCATCTTCCAGCTCCATCAGTGTCCAGGGGTCTGGGGCATAGACTAGTCTAATACTCTTTATTATTCACTCAAGCTCATACAGCTTCACAGTGAGTCACACTTTCACTATGGAAGTGTGAGGAGAGTCAAGACTCCTGTTTTCTATACAGTGTTTTTGAATAAAATACAATAGTCAGAGGTGTCAAGTAACGAAGAACAAATAATTCATTACTGTACTTAAGTACACTTTTTAGGTATCTATACTTTACACTATTATGTTTCTTCCCACTTGTGACTTGTACTCATTACATTTCCACACAAGTATCTGTACTTTCTATTCCTTACATTATTAAAACAAACGTTACCCGTTACTCTTGGCTTCAGTTTAATGTTTATAAATATTTATTTCACGTCATGTGCTCCATCCAATTGCAGATCATTGGCGCCATCCATATCTAGTGAAAACTAGTGTAATTTGATGAGTCATATAATGCAAACACTCATTGGTTAGCTAAAGGAAATCATCAGAAGCAAGCAGGTGTTCTTTAAACTGTAAAGGTGAATTGTCTATGCCATGCTACAATGTCTGATTCAGAAAAAGATATTGAAATGTTTGAAAGGTCGGACACAGACGGGAGCGTATCTGAAGATGGAGACGTAGACCAACAAGGCCTCCCTCATCCTTGGCTCTATCTCAAAGAATTTTTCAAAATAGTCAAAAATTTAGCTTACAATTCATACAGTGGCATCTGGCTGTTTTCTTTAAAGGTTACTTTATACTTTAAGTAGTTTTTGCAGCACATACTTTTTCATTTTTACTTGAGTAAAGAGGTCAAGTTGATACTTCAACTTTTACCAGAGTGTTTTTAAAATGCAGTATCTATTCTTCTACTTAAGTAACAAATGTGTGTACTTTTGACACCACTGACAATAATCAAAATAGCTAACCTTATTTTTTTGAAAACATATGCATATCTAATTATACATAGGTTCTACCCACCTTAATATTACAATAAATTAAATTTCTACAGTTTGCCCACTACATAAATTATCTTTCTTATTTATTGTAGCCATAAAGGTTTTTATAAAGACCGTTATATTTTATCGAAGCACACCAAGTACAGATTAATTATTCAACCTAACATGGTTGAGAGAACAATGAAGGATAAACCAAGATGAGAGATTGCTGAGTCTAGGATAGGGGTCAGCATTCACCTAAACATCATACAAAATAAACATATTTTTATTGTTTCTTCTAATTTATCTTCTTTTAGACATTTTCATTTTGAAATTTTATAAATGCTTACATGGCCTATATGATTAATATGATTAAATACTATATAAATGAATAAAAAGAAGAAGAGCAACAAAATTAAATTAAATTTCAAAATAAGCCAACTGGTGAGTTTTTCTGTTTTCAAAAGTTGCTGAGGGGACTCTATGTGGTCCTTGAGGGCCCTTTGTTACCCGCGGGTACCCAATTGGTGACCCCTGGTCTAGGATAAAAGTTGATTTGCCTTGCCAAGTAACCAAAACAATGAGCAATTAGATGGGTGTCAGTAGGTATCAATCTTATTTAAGACTAGAACTAGTATTCCCTCAAATAAAAAAAAGACATGTTTAGCCACACTGCGATGGACTGCGACCTGTCCAGGGTGTACCCTGCCTCTCGCACATTGACAGTTGGAGATAGGCACCAGCACCCCTCGCGACCCCACTTGGGACTAAGCGTGTTGGAAAATGGATGGATGGATGGATGGATGTTTAGCCACAAGTCGTCTTTCAACCACTGGTTGTCTGGTTGGTGTCCTGGGGTCCGTTTCAAAGCTTGTTTACTAAAAACGTATATATTTTTTAAAACCTGAAATCAAGGGAACTTAAGTTTTCCATTTCAAAACGAGAGTTTACTTAACCTGTTTCTGTTGCCGTAGCAACATTCTCCCCAGAGAATAACCTGGCCGGGAGCAGGTTTTGTTTAATAAACCTAGTGAGCTCTATATCCGCCCACCTTAGAGCCAATCAGGTAATTTTATTTCCTGATTTAGTGAGAGTTGTAGCATAGTTATGGATATACAATAATATCAAATCATTCACAAGGTCCATTAGACACATTAAGTTTCAAAAATAAATGTTAAATGTCCTTTTAGGCACTATGCAGATCTTTTTTTTTTTTCAATACACGAAGATCTACTGAAATCATTTCAGATTAACATAAATACATTATTTGATCTGATTAATTGTCTGAAGACATTCTATGGGACTGATAATCAATAATAAGATAAGACATTTATTTGGATGATAACATCCGAAGCGACTGTAAACAGCCACTTAGTACTTACTGTGTGATGGAACACAGAATCATAATGAGGAGGAAGCCCATGAGACGATGCGCAGGTCCTACCTCTTAGAACAACATTTTTACACTTCACCTTCTCCTGCTAACAGGTAATTACACCTAAATATATACATTGATCCAATACCATTCAAACAATAAACTAGCTTTCCCCATAATGTTATTGTGGTTACAACAGACTATGACAGGCCAATTTAATATGGATTGGTTTGACTGAATATGTGTTTCTGATATCATAAATAAATTGTCTTTGTCAAAATGACTTAATTCTTTACCTCATTCTGGATGTCTAGAAATTAATTTCAGATTTCCATATTCCTATTGTGAATGGTAATCATTTGTATTAATTTGACCATCAAGAAATGTATTTCAGATATTATAAATACATATTCAGTCAGGCTGATAGGTGTCAAAAAGGCTACTTAAAATGTGTCAATTTCTGCTGACAAGATGTAATTTAGAAAATCTACAATTATAGCTTCAACTAGGAATGTGATTTTGACCAGGAAGAATCTTATTTTAGTGATCTACAAATGGAACAGAGAGGAGAACACTTTTAATAAATGTGAAAATGGTCTGCCATAGAGGGCTGCATATTAACTTATTAACTATCAACTCTAGCAGCAATTTTTCTCATTTGCTATCTTCCCCTCCTTTGCAACTGTAGCACTGTATCTCTGTCTTTTAAACAAAGTCTGCATTTTTCCTCATTTCTGTATTAAAATCTGTAATTGAAGTGGTGTGAAATAGGCACTTCCTGTTGCATGTTGTCATGGTGAATCGTTGAATTGGTGCTCTACTGATAATGGCTTTTCAGAAATGTTACACACATGTTCAACTCTGAGTGGACCTATTCATAGTTTATTAAACTAACCCACATCAGCTTTTATGAAACTGAAAACTCAGAGTTTACAACTTTAGGCTAGATCAATTCAGAGTTGAATACCGGCTTTGTAAAACAGATTTCTGAAGGCAATGTTGAGTTAAGTTGATAAGTGGCAGACTTTTTGGGGAAAACCTAAACTGCTTCTGACAGTTAGCACCCATTTAACAAAGTTCTTATCTCCCAAATGATCCATTTTAGTAGATCATTATCAGATAATGAAGTTTAAAAAAAAATATATTCCTCACTACAGAGGGCAACCATTTAATTTATTCCCCTTCACAATTTGATCATGTTGGGGGTTACTTCTCTGTGCACTGCTATACACAGTAGCCCCTTTAAAAGTCACTACTATTTGGAAGCTGGCTTTCTGGTTTAATTTGGAGCTAGATACTTTAAAGCATATGATACTAGGGAACTATGTTTACATCTGTACAGGAATCCTACCTAATATGAAAACATTTTGACTGCTTTAGAAAACGACTGTTCATTAACAGATCAGAATAAGAATAATCCTATATTTCTTTTTAAAACAGTTGCAAAACTCACAGAGAGCCAGACCTCTGTAGAACCATGTATTCCCCGAGCTCTTATCAGTGACTATTTTATAGTATTCTTTATAAAAACAATTTATTTTATTGAAAGTAAGATTAGTGACACCCCTCTAATTAAGAGTGGTTCATATGTCAAAAGTATGGCAGCATCAAATGTAACTATAGAACCTGAACTGTGATTGGACTGTTTTGATCTAGTTGAGCAACTACTTTGAGTAATCCATAAGAGATTGAATGTCTTGGATTTCTGCACCGATTAAATCATATGTGTGTCTACCGTAAATTCTCTGACATACAGCCTTATTGTGCTTCAATGGGGATTTTCTATTCCAGTGTACCGTTACCCCATATAGCTTCTGTTGTTAGCACTTAGCAGACCAAATATCAGCAGTAGGGGAAACAAAGTTGAAATCTTTCAGTGCAGATTTTAGATTTCTCTCCACCTGTGCATACACCCTTTCCAGGTAAGATGAAAAAGATGTTCTGTGGTGCAGTCAATTTGACTGTGTGAGCTGCTGAACTGCCTTGAGATGACATGTGTTGGGAATTGGCGGCATATAAATAAACTGAATTGAATTGAATGTTTGAGCTGGTTTTAAAAATCCATGTTTTGCCAGACCAACATATAAATATAACTTTTATTACAGTGTTGTAAGTGCTGACTCACCTGTCAGCTGAGTGTACTTTTCCATATTATTTATAGCTTTAGACAGGGACAGGTGCTCATCTGCTTCCAGGAAAGCGTCTGTGATCCTGAAGGAACATTGCAAATTGTAATGGTAATGATAACATTGCATGAAATACAAGGAGACACAGTTGCCACTGAGTTTCAGCAATGTCAGGGGTTTCTTACATCCACTCTATGCTGTTTTTCACTTTGTGCTGGTAGGCTCTTTTGTGTAAAGAGAACCTTGTGTAGAACATGTCATACAGATTGAACACGTCCTGTTAACGATAATCACAATGTTCAGTGGCACGTATTGTAAATCTGAGTTTGAATATTGATAGGAAGAAAAATTCTCAACTAAATCACACCTTGTCTCTGTAACAGATCTGCCACTCTCCATCCACCTCACACGCCCTAGCAGATTTAATCAAACGCTCATGGTCAAAGCTGTTCTTCATTCCCAGGTAATGACAGTCTCTGTCATATGGAAAAAGGAAACAAATGTTTGGAAATATGTGTTTATATTTAACACAAGACACATTTAGAGTGTGGAATCATATAATAAATACCCACCTGGCAAAATAATCCCACTTATCTACATCAATCTTGTTTATCGTGTTGGATACAATGTCGTAGAGGATGTAGCGCTTTTCTGAACGATTTGCGGGTGGCCTCTACAGAAGAACAACAGAATTGTAAACAAATATTGCCAGGTGTTTCGCCAAACACAATTACAGACATATACAGAAGAAGATGAATATATTCAGATTAGGGCTGCAACTAATGATTATTTTACATATGAATTTATCTGACGATTATTTTTTAGATTAATAAATAGTAATATAATAAAGTCAGAGGTTCCCTAGAAGATTTTTTTCTGAATTAAACCAGGCGAGAAGAGTCAGAACTTCTAGGTTGGTTCGGCAGCGTGCTCCCTAGAGATGTTTTTAACTCCATTATTTAAAGGGCAACTCCATTTTTTTTTTTTTTTTTACATTGGGCTCCTGATTTTACATTATTACATCATGTTCTACTCACCCATATAAATTTTGTGTCATTTGGAGCTGTTCTGAAGATATAACTGTTAGGTTATATCCAAGTAACGTCTTCCTATGGGCAAATGACTTGAAGGCACAAACTAAACTGTTCATAATTTATTCATTATGGTATGCCAGCATTCATATTTTGTAGGTGAATCACTGTCACCCAGACATCCGCAGTTATATTTTTTATATTTATATCTTTTAAAAACAAAGCGCCGCATGTATGACGTCTGACTGGAGTTGTGACAGGCAGCCCGGGCCACAGACGGCTACGCTCTACCCCTTATATTAATTCGGCGAGCTAATCTGAATCGTTCAATACCATTTTGAGAGCGAGATCATCTGTGGTAGTAGCACTAGACATCTTCCAGGCATGTGAGTAAAACTATCAGCAGTTCAGCGGACAGGATGAATGAAGGGTAGCCAGCGTGCGCGGATGACGTCATACACACGACACTGATTCACCTACATGTTATAAATGCTGGCATACCATAACGAATAAATTATGAACAGTTTAGTTTGCGTCTTCAAGTCGTCTGCCCATAGGAAGACGTTACTTGGATATAACCTAACGACCATTTTCAGAATCTTTAGGAGCAAAAAGAGGATTCTGATTAATTGTTTCGGCCCTGGTTCTAATGCTGCACTGGTTTTATATGGACCAGTCCATCACTTCTAAACCAACTCCCTGTCAAATTTCCTTAAGTTTCTATAATATTGATTATACATTTTACTACCATTGCTTCCATAACATTCAAGGATTGTGGTGATGTTTAGTACTGTATCAATGTTGAATATATATGCTTGTAGAACAACAATAACAAAGTCATTCTAAAATGTTTATCAAAGCAAACAAGAAAGAAAACAACTATTTTTTCCTACATATTCTATTTTTTACATTATTATCTACCTGTTTATTTAAGCAAACATTCATTGACAATATTTTTGCATTTTTCCCTTTAATAGTATAGACGTAGCTAAGAGGGTTTGTGAAAGGCGCATTTGTCCCCAAGAGCAAAAAATATACTGCGGTGAGGAAAAAAACAAATTTGATTTCAACATTTCTACCTGACATGCTTTTATTCTGAAAGTGCAATGCAGCTCAACGTCACTGGCCCCGCCCCTTCCTCACCTGCTTTGATTGGGGCAGACACTGTAGGATGCGCTATCAGCTAAATTCTATATTCAGAGACCTTCGAATGAGGTAAAACATCTATTTATAACATCTTGATGTTAGTTTATATTTTAATTTAGAACATATAGTTCAAGCTCTACGGAGCCCCCTAGGGGACATGGGGAATTTTTTTTCTTTTGCGTTCCCTCGCAATACTTTTGCGTTCCCTCGCAAAACTTTTGCGTTCCCTCGCAATACTTTTGCGTTCCCTCGCAAAAACTTTTGCGTTCCCTCGCAAAAGTTTTTGCGTTACCTCGCAATAGGGCTTGGTCGTCGTGACGTCACCACTTTGCGTGGTCGCCCTGTTGACGGCGCACTTTACGGCTTCCTTAGACTATTGCCTGTGACTAACGCGTACTGTACTCCCTCTCAGCCGTGTTTTATTTCGTTTAATTTCACCGTAACTTGATTTCAACCATGGTAAACCGTTGCAGTATTGTGGGCTGTAACAGCGCATCACATGATCGCCGAGGGAAAAACCTACAAAATGGGATAACTTTCCACCGCTGTCCTGCCTGGAGGCGCAAACACGGAGACCAAGTTTCACAGATAACAAAAAGTCGTCGGCTAGCTTGAATCGCGGCTGTAAGACGACAGAACAGAACTTTCCACAGTATCCTGATGTCAATGCGAGTGTGTTCCCTGCATTTTCATTCTGGTAAGTTAAAGATGCACGGTTTTATTTTATAGCCTACAGTGTTTCCTTCCTTCATCCGTGGCACCACATACATGCATGAACGCGCGCCCAGAGACTGTTGATATAGCATTTTCATCCTCGTTGGTTGATATAGCATTTTATCCTCTTTGGTAGAACACACTGCCAGTTCCTACAAGGACAGGGACATCCCTTAACCTGACAACAGCCAGATGCATGTCTCGCTCCGTGGAGTGGAGCTGGGCGGAGCGAGACATGCATCTGGCTGTTGTCAGGTTAGACATCCCTCTCCATTTTCAAAAAAAAACCCTGAGGTTGACAGCTGTCATAGCACCACTTATAAATTTTGCTGATCCTAGCGCTTACCAGCCGTCTTGTAATGTAATGTAATCATATAATACAATATAATAATGTGTATATTGAGGATCATTGATAACATTATGGTTCTGTATGTGTTCAACACTGCTGCTGTGGATAATCATTTTAAATTGTGTCACCAGGAAAACCAGCAAATGAAATGTACACCTCGCATCCGGATTGGGCACCATCACTACACTTGGGCCACACTGAGATAAAGGCCACACAGACTGCACGCTATGAGAGACAGGAAAAGAGAAAACGGCAAAGGACTGACAGTAAACCTGCGAGGATGAGACAGCTATTGATGACCTTGTTCCACCCGGTAAGCCTTACAGAGCCAGCAGATTCAACACCGTATGTTGCTTTTGTGGCTTTTTCAGCTGCATGATGCACATTTAGCTAAAAGATGTCCTTATTTTATCCATAGTGGAGACACCAGCACGGAAGCCGTAAAGTGCGCCGTCAACAGGGCGACCACGCAAAGTGGTGACGTCACGACGACCAAGCCCTATTGCGAGGTAACGCAAAAGGTTTTGCGAGGGAACGCAAAAGTATTGCGAGGGAACGCAAAAGTTTTGCGAGGTAACGCAAAAGAAAAAAAATTCCCCATGTCCCCTAGGGGGCTCCGTACAAGCTCATCTTAATCCTGGGATGGACACCTTTCTACTATTGAGCTGCTAATTTCACTAAAGTCATGTCAACCAACCAATACATTTTTTTCATCTGATTTTTAGCGAAATACCGCCACTATGGGACCTTTAAACAAAACCAGCACTCTGTCTTCTTGAAAAGAGCAATGCCAGTGTTTATATCGCTTACACATCATATTCATGTATTTTAGATGGAAATGGATATTTTAAAGATGGAAATACTGACGAAGCTGGAGGGAGGTCTGAAATGATTAGTGATAAAAATATAACTTCTTGAGCTTTTAAATTTGAAACCCATACCGTGTTGCACTATATTATCTTAATGATGGTACCTTATATAACATATTTCTATCATTATCTTACACAATGCTTCAGTTATCATGCATTATAAATCCAACCTTTGAAACAGTTCAGGTATAGGTTCTTCATTTTCTAGTACCTGCTTTCTCGCTCCTCCTGATCCTCCTGTTGGTTGGTCAGTAGCTGGGATCGTCTTCATTATTGAAGAAAATCAACACAAAATAACATCAAGGATTCTGGTAATGTTTAGAACTGTATCAATGTTGAATATAACATAAGCAAAAACAGTAGTTTATATTGGCGCAAGGAAAAGTGAGAATAAACACTATTGTTATGAACAAGAGGAACTTTTTTGGGGGGGGGGATTTTATCACACTAGTGGTAACCCATGTCGAGGACTAAGGCCTTCATACATGGGTCATGTGCGCTAACCACTGCGCGTCCAAAGCAAGCCCAATTAGATGAACTGTTAATGATAGATTCCAGGAGCTATCAGGATGGGTACCTTTTTTGGGGGGTCTATGAGATCTTTGATGAAATCCAGATCTTCTTTTAGATATTCTTTTAGATATTTTTTTAGAATCTTTTTAAGCTCTTCTATTTTTCCAGAATGTCCTTTATCCTTGTCCGTCATTATCTTCTGCACATCCTCCATCTTTGTTAGTACGCCATCTACTTTTTCAGAATCTTCGTCAGTCATTTTCTTCCGCACATCATACATCTGTTTTAGCAAGTCATCATTCTTTTCCATCAGATGGTCAATCATCTTTTTAGATAGTTCCTCATGCTGCAAGACACACAAAATTATTTATTTTGAGAACAGACCATCACATTTTGAAAATAAAAGTAACATATCTATCTGAATAAAGTGGAAATAGTCCACTTTGTATTAGACACAAAAGGACACCGTTTATCTTTAAATGTGGGCAGACATCATGTGTGATCATTATTTACTTGGGGGCTGTGATCAACTTTTATTCTAACTTTGACCAATAGATAAGAACTGTGTTATGCAAGAACTTCCATTTAGTACTTGAAAGATTTATTTAAAAACATTTGTAAATAACTGTTTTAGTATTACTTGTGAAGTTATAAGCAGAATAAAAATTTAGTTTAATTTGCTCACAGTGATTCTTTTTAGGGAGTCTCAAATCTGAGTTTGCTTTTATTGTAATGAGAGGATGTGTACATTACATCATATTCAACAATAACAAAGGCATAAATGTTTATCAAAGCAAACAAGAAAAAGAGGCATGTTAGGACAAAAAATCAAAAACAGGTTGTATTAGGCTTAAAACTTTGAAGTAATAGTGTTTATTTTTCCTACACATTCTCTTTTTGCACTTTACTATCTGCCTGTTTATTTAAACAAAAATTCACTGACATTTTTTTTTTTTTGCATTTCTCCCTGAGACAGGCGCTTTTGTCCTAAGAGCAAAAAATATAGTACAGAAAAAAAATGTTTTGATTTCTGAAAGCGCAATGCAGCTCTATGTCACTGGCCCCGCCCCCTTCCTCACCTGCTTTGAGTGGGGCAGAGACTGTAGGAAGCGCTATCAGCTAAATTCTACATTCAGAGACCTTCGAATGAGGTAAAACATCTATTTATAATATCTTGTTTTTAGTTTACATTTAAATTTAGAACATATAATTCAAGCTCATCTTAATCCTGGGATGGACACCTTTCTACTATTAGGCTGCTAATTTCACTAAAGTCATGTCAACCAACCAATACATATTTTTCATCTGATTTTTAGCAAAATACCGCCACTATGGGACGTTTGAAAAAAACAGCACTCTGTCTTCTTGAAAAGAGCAATGTCAGTGTTTGTGTCGTTTACACACTAAACTCAGCTATTTTAGATGGAAATAGATATTTTAAAGATGGAAAGACTGAAGAAGCTGGAGGGAGGTCTGAAATTATTAGTGATAAAAATATAACTTCTTGAGCTTTTAAAATTGAAACCCATAAACTATATTATCTTAATGATGGTGCCTTATATAACATACTTCTATCATTATCTTACGCAATGCTTAAGTTATCACGCATTATAAATCCAGCTCTTGAAGCAGGCCGGAATTAAACCCGGGTAACCCACATCGAGGACTAAGGCCTTCATAGATGGGTTGTGTGCGCTAACCACTGCGCCACCAAAGCACACGCAACCAGATTAACTTTTGATGATAAATTCCACAAGCTGTCAGGATGGGTACCTCTGTTTTTAGGTCTATGAGATCCTTGATCAAATCCTGAATTTCTTTTTGAAGCTTTTGAAGCTCCTTTATCTCTTCAGAATCTCCTTGATCCTCACCAGTCATTTTCTTCATATGTTTTAGTAAGTCATCATTTTTCTTCTTCAGGTCAATCATCTTTTTAGATAGTTCCTCATGCTGCAAGACACACAAAGAAATGTATTGTGAGAACAGGCCATCACATTTTGAAAATGAAAGTAACATATCTATCTGAATAAAGCGGAAATAGCCTACTTTGTATTAGACACAGAAGGACACTGTTTATCTTTAAATGTGGGCAGACATCAGGTGTGATCATTATTTACTTGGGAGCTTTGATCAGTTTTTATTCTAACTTTGACCAATAGATAAGAACTGTGCTATGCAAAGAACTTCCACTTAGTGCTTGAAAGATTTATTTAAAAACATTTGTAATTAACTTTTAGTATTTATGAAGCTATAAGCAGAATAAAAATTGATTTCAATTTGCTCACAGTGATTCTTTTTAGAGAGTCTCAAATCTGAGTTCACTTTTAATGTAATGAGAGGATGTGTACATTACATCATATTTAATCAAATAAGCTAAATTCCACATATGTTACTCACTCTTAATTCAACAGTAAAATGTCTTGAAATTGTGTCTCAGAAACTTTTGAACTTTGGAAATAGGAATGTGTTGTCATCTTATAGGTGTAATATGTGCTTTTAGAACAACAATAACAAAGGCATTCTAAAATGTTTATCAAAGCAAACAAGAAAAAGAGGCATGTTAGGACAAAAAACAAAAACAGGTTGTATTAGGCTTAAAACTGTGAAGTAATAGTGTTTATTTTTCCTACACATTCTCTTTTTTACTTTACTATCTGCCTGTTTATTTAAACAAACATTTATTGACAATTTTTTTGCATTTCTCCCTGAGACAGGCGCATTTGTCCCCAAGAGCAAGAATATAGCAGAGGAAAAACAAACAAATTTCATTTTGATATTTCTACCTGACATGCTTTTATTCTAAAAGCGCAATGCAACTCTATGTCCCTGGCCCCGCCCCCTTCCTCACCTGCTTTGAGTGGGACAGACACTGTAGGCTGCGCTATCAGCTAAATTCTACGTTCAGAGACCTTCGAATGAGGTAAAACATCTAATTATAACACCTTGTTGTTAGTTTACATTTAAATTTAGAACATGTAATTCAAGCTCATCTTAATCCTGGGATGGACACCTTTCTACTATTAGGCTGCTAATTTCACTAAAGTCATGTCAACCAACCAATACATATTTTTCATCTGATTTTTAGCAAAATACCGCCACTATGGGACGTTTGAAAAAAACAGCACTCTGTCTTCTTGAAAAGAGTAATGTCAGTGTTTGTGTCGTTTACACACTAAACTCAGCTATTTTAGATGGAAATAGATATTTTAAAGATGGAAAGACTGAAGAAGTTGGAGGGAGGTCTGAAATGATTAGTGATAAAAATATAACTACTTGAGCTTATAAAATTGAAACCCATGCCCTACATTATCATAATGATGGTGCCTTATATAACATACTTCTATCATTATCTGACACAATGCTTAAGTTATCACGCATAAAAAATCCAGCTTTTGAAGCAGGCCGGAATTAAACCCGGGTAACCCACATCGAGGACTAAGGCCTTCATAGATGGGTTGTGTGCGCTAACCACTGCGCCACCAAAGCACACGCAACCAGATTAACTTTTGATGATAAATTCCACAAGCTGTCAGGATGGGTACCTCTGTTTTTGGGTCTATGAGATCCTTGATCAAATCCTGAATTTCTTTTTGAAGCTTTTGAAGCTCCTTTATCTCTTCAGAATCTCCTTGATCCTCACCAGTCATTTTCTTCATATGTTTTAGTAAGTCATCAATCTTTTTAGATAGTTCATCACGCTGCAAGACACACAAAGAAATTTATTGTGAGAACAGGCCATCACATTTTGAAAATAAAAGTAACATATCTATCTGAATAAAGCGGAAATAGCCTACTTTGTATCAGACACAAAAGGACACAGTTTATCTTTAAATGTGGGCAGACATCAGGTGTGATCATTATTTACTTAACTTTTACCAATAGATAAGAACTGTGTTATGTAAAGTACTTCCATTTAGTACTTGAAAGATTATATTCAGCTATTTTAGATGGAAATTGATATTTTAAATACTGCCATTTTGGACTGATTTGCTGATTGCTTTGTTTCTGCTAAACATGTGAGCCATATTCACATGTTATGAATTAGGCTGAGCTCAAAATACTCCCATGTAATTTTCCAATGGGGACTCTTAAGGTGATACTTAATCCTAACCCAGCTATCATACGAAAGGTCATTAACCCCACTCTGTCATACTATCCCCCTGGCTTAATGGCCTTCTTCTACCCACCTCCATTTTCCTCCCAGGAGCCTGAACGACTATACACTCTCTGCCCAGTGTGAGCTCCGAGAATGTATGTGGAGAAAACAGCTGGTTCCCCGAAATCTGAGCAGCTGTTTGCATCATGGGCTCAACCCCATAAAGGAAAACCACTCACTAAACAACATGGATAGTGCGAGCTATAGAGCCTTTAACCCACTGCAGGCCTGCAGTCCTGTTCCAGGGTATAGCTTTGGTGGACATTTGTGTAGCTGCCAGCTAGGCAACTCCTCAACCTTCACTGGGAGTCACAGGTTGGATGTTACCACGCCTACACTGGCCCACACAGTTCTGGGTGAGGGATCTACTACTGTGAAAATGTTCATGGCTGTATATTGATTTTTTTTCTTCGGGTGACTGCATAGTATGTATATTTGTGAAAACACTGCATAGTACAGCATTTTATTTTGTTTCCTTTTTTATCTCTAACCGCTTATTTTTTATTTTTTTTTATTCACTTTTAAGGTTCATATTTCTGCTACCAAGTTTTGCTGTAATGTTGTTGTAACACCACAAATTCTCCATTGTGGGACAATAAAGGGCTTTTCTATCTTCACCTTTATAATTGTGGTCCTTGAGTAAGCCTATCTGTCAATACAGGAGTCGCAATATCGCATAGTGAGATACCAAAACTAATGTTGAAAGAGAAATTTAGGTTAAGGAGTTTACCCCAGTTCTCTGGAGCATGAGTGAGGTATCTCACCAGATCACCCTAATAATGTGTTAATTTGCTATGCTTAAATTAGTCTGATAAAATGCAGTGACGTTGCAGGTTAGTATAAGATATAATACTCTTTAACTTTAATTGTCTTGCTTCGGGTAAAAACATTAGATCAAACATGTGGGAAAACGGTCCATGTCCTGAAAAGAAAATAAGTCAGAGTTCAGGGGTTTGAGCTATGATTTAAAGTCTATATATAATATCTTGAACAGTTCTGCATTTTAAAAACAAACATTTTAAATGTATTTTTGATCCTAACAGAAATGGGTTTAAAGGTCAGTTTTAATCCTAAAAAACAAGTTGAAACATTTCTTTTCACAGACACTGAAACAATTTCGAATATATAAAAAAGAAGCTAATATATATATATTGATATTGTTTTAAAGCTTATAACACTTATGGTTGTTATTTTTCTTTTTATGTTATTAGACGTTGGGTCTAAAACAGAAATTGAACAGGTGATAGACTGTACCTGCCGAATCCTGTGTTACAATGTTACAATAACAACATATAAATGAAATCTATAATTTTCCCACAATGAGAAAATCTACCTTCTACATTAAACTATTACTTTGTTCAGTTACCATTCTGGGGTATTAGTTTTCCTCAGGAAACAAATATGCTTCATTTACTTATTTGAGATGATTGACTAATGCTTAGCTAAGGCAGTGAAATACAATATTTATTTTTTCAAAATTCAAACTGCTGCTGGTTTTTTTAATATTAACTGTGAGTCTGACTCAGGAAGTCCCTCACCAAGGTCATGGCAAAGGGCGGCAAATTGCACACAAAGGACGTCCCAGTCAGTAATCCCAAGCTCCTTCTGCTTCTCTTTGATAGACTTTAGAATTTCTCCAGCCAGGTAAGCCACCCTGTAACAGAAAAAAAATAAAATAAAATAGATTAACCCTAACAAGATAAATCAAGGAAACTGACATAAGCCTTTTTGAGAGAACTATTGTTCGTGAACCTCAGTAACTATACACTTAATTTACCCAATGCTGTGTTCGAAGCGGCTGTGGGTTGCTCCAGGGTAAACATAAGATACAGCTCCAAGCTGCTTGATGTTTCGAAGTCGTTGAAACTGAGGCGTGTCAATGATCTTGACAAGGAGTGGATGCAGCTCTATAGTCCCATGGACCGGATCTTTAAAAATCTGACATTAACATAAGGAAACATCTTTGACATCATTATCATACAGAAAGGATGAAAATAATAAATATTTGCATAAAAAGGAAGCAGAAAAGAAACTCAAATGCTTATTTTATTGAAAAAATCTCATCTTGTTTTATATCTGTTTTAAGTTCTCTAATGAAAACGTATGATCCTCAGAGAAAACAGAATAGGATAGAGATAGCTCACATAAAATTACTTACAGTAACAACTAAAAAGGAAAACACGAGTTAAAAAATGTATTAAGTAATATGACTTAATCTGAAAAGTGAACATTAATTAACAATAAAACAGCCTTTGCCATGAATACAAAGCCCAAATAAAGTGATCTTTCACTAGTGGACCTAATCCTTGTCTGAGTCTCTGTGTGTTTAAAACAAATTTTTTCTGCCACTTTGAAGTCTTAAGGAACTGAGTGTTACATTTCTGTTTCTAAATGCTCCTCTTCTTTTATCTCTATAGCTGTAAAGTGAGAACAGCTCTACCTTCCTTTGCTCTGCCATTGTTTCCAAAAGCCTTCAGAGGTTTTTCAGGATTTGCAGATGGTCACCAAAATTCTTGAAATGAAGGATCAGATTTCTGATGTGAAGATCCTGTAAATGAGGGAAATAAAAAAGTGAGGATTGTTAATGTGAGAAACAGATATGAAAAACACTTGTCAATTTATGTTATTTAAATATCCAAAGACAATATATGAATAAAATAGCAATAATTGCTGATCCTTTTTTTTTCTCTACCTTAATGTAACAGCGTAAAAGCAAACTCAAGGATCTGCTTGGATCTTCCAGATGAAGATGATTACCAGCTTCCATCAGTGTGGTAATTTATACTGGAAACCTAACCACCTCCAGGGGACGGATTAAAGATGATGTATAAGAGGACGACATGTATGCACCTCCTCCAGGTTCATTGTAGTTTAAAATGAATAACCATCTCATTGCCTTTGTTCACTGTAACCATTAGAGGGAGTGGTGATTAGGGCATAGAGCTTGGAATTCCTGAGGTTCTGCGTTCGAGCCCCAATCCTACAGACTGCCACTCTGTCTCTGGCTCTGACCAAGAAGTCTCAGTCTGGGGTTGAGTCCCTTAACCCCACACTGCTACCAGGGTGCCCCACGATGGTAGCCCGCTGATCGCCAAGGGGATGGGTTAAATGCAGAGGTGAATAACTCCAATGTGAGATTAATAAATGTCGATTATCAATTATTATTTTACTATTGTAACGGTAGCTGTTTTTAAAGTGAATGAATTAGTTAGTTTTAAATATATATATATAATTAATAGAAATACATTTTTAGAAATATTTACAAAAACCTAATTATGGTATCTCGTTGTTCTCATTTCTAACTTGTTTAACAACATAACACCTATTTCAGGTTTCAAAAAATGTAGGTGAGTGGCAGCATTGTCCTTGATCATGTGCAACAGAACAAACACATACCAAGTATGAAAAGATGGGATCACACCCTTGACAGTTGCAGGCATTTAAATAAAGACCAACTTGTTGTTGTTTTGTGGTTAATGAGTTCCAGCAGTAAAGACGCTTGACACAAAGACTATTTTTTGAATTATTTTCTAACAATTTACATGCAGCTTAAAAGACACCCTTAAAGTAAAATAAAATATTGTCAAAAAGCATTTAGTGCAGTTCATTTTAATATGCTTTACTACTGTTCAGCTTAATATCTTGTTCTTTGAAATTGGTGGCAGTAGTGAAATATATGTGTAGGACATCATCTTGGCCCACTTTTTCCCTGTTCCTTTAAAAAAAAAAATGTAAAAGCACCCCAGCCCATCTTAGTGTTTTTACTGACCTTCTCCATTAGCTAATGACCACAGAGTGGATGATGAACCATCACACACAGTTCAGATTATCTAAAACTAGTTTCATCTCAATGACTCGCTGACAACAGATTAAACAAGTGTCCGCTGGATACTTATATGCCAGTCGCAGGTTTAGTGACCAATCGTTCTGTCATCGGTAGATAAAAATGTAATGTATAATTGCAGAGTTGCATAATACATAAAGATGTATTCTAATGAAATGGAAAATTGCTTACAAATAACAACCAATGTAGTAATTTAGTGAAAAACTAGGTTTAGATAACAGCTAACTGATTGTGCAAGACTCCTACGACAAGTCTGGAGTGTTCGTAATATTTGTTCGTACCTGAGAGAAGGTTAGAAATATGACAAAAGTGGTGAATTAAACATTTTCTTCTAAATCCTTCATACAAACAATTTATTCAGATCCAATGTTCAGATTAGCTCAATAATTTTTTTTTTGTGTCTCTGTGACTTTATTTCATCTACAAACAATAATAGTGGGGACATCAGTAGAATCCATAGAATTTAGATAACCTTTTTTTCAAACTCTTATTGAATATTCCTTTTTCTTCTTCCCTCCTAAATAAAGAAACACGTAAATTATCAAAAACCATATGATGAACACCTGGTTTAGATCAGACACACAAACAACAGCAGCATTAATGATAAGAAGTAGTTGAGTATACCGCTTTGTCACTGGACCTGCTGTTAAAGAAAAACATTGCTGGTTTGTATCAGTTCATAACAAAGCCAACAAAAATACCAATCATGAAAAAAATGGGATCACACCCTTAATTGTTGCAAGCATTTAAATCCAGAAAGACTTGTTCTCATTTTGTAGCACGTGGATTACTGCGAAACACGTAGGGCAGTCTTACTATGAGACTACTGATTAGTTCCATGTGGAAAGGACAAGAACTTTTGGCTACTTAACCAGTACTGACTGGGAAACACGCTGTCCAAACGTTTTAGCCAGTACTTACCAGGAACACACAGCCAAGCCTTATTAGGGGACTACTGGGTTGTCACCACAGGAACAGAGGAGATATTCTCCATGTGGGTTCTGGATAAATCCTGCAGCAGTGAGGTCTTAGCTTGTTACTGTCAAAACAGTTTTTTGTTATTGCCTTTTGAAAACCTATTGAAAAACATTACAATAAGCAGCCCATTTTCACCAATCACTAATTTAGCATACAAGTTTAGCACATTTAGAATGTAATTTTAAATTGGTAAAATACTTTGGATGCAGCCGCCTATCTCCAAACCCACACATGCAAGATCCCATCTCTCCTCTTCTGGCTGCTCTCCATTGACACTGTTTGTGCTTGAATTCTTGTATTTGTCTTTAATGTCCTTACAGTCTTCCTCCTTCTTATCTTACAGATTTAATTTACCCTTACTATCTTAGACAGGCTGTAAGGTCAGATGATCAGCTGCTCCTTAGAGTTACAAGGTTAAGTGAAGCCTTGGAGTGGTTAGCCTCTCACAGTTTTGGCCCCCAAGTTAAGAAATGTGTTATGTTAGCATGTTAAGCAGGTTCCTTTACTGATGTCTTTTAGATTCTCCTTGAAGACCCATCTATATGTCTCATGATATTTAACACAGCATGATTTGTCTATTGCTTTACCAGGAGTAGGTTTGGATAACCTTTCATGTCTGGTCTATTCTTTTCTGTATTGTTGGATTGCACAGCACTTGAGGTCAATTTTTGCTGTTTTTAAGTATGTTTCATACATATATAAGATTGAGATTTGAATAAAATTTGACACATAGAGTTGTTTTAATCATCCCTCCCAGGAACACAAGAGTTTATAGCAAACTTAAAAATATATTTTATCACTACCTGACAACTACGCAGTGCATTTTAGAAGATTTATTGTGTTTAAGTCTCTGTGTGACTTCTTAAAAATTCCCTCCCAGGTACATTTTTGGAATTATCTACAAAAACCTAATTATGGTATGTTGTTGTTCTCATTTCTAATTTGTTTAACAACAAAATACTTTTTTTCAGTTTTCAGAAAATGTTGGTGAGTGGCAGCATTGTCCCTGATCATGTGCAAAAGAACAAACACATACCAAGTATGAAAAGATGGGATCACACCCTTGACAGTTGCAGGCATTTAAATAAAGTCCTACTTGTTGTCGTTTTGTGGTTAATGAGTTCCAGCAGTAAAGACGCTTGACACAAAGAATATTTTTCTTTTTCTTTTTTTATTACAATTTACATGCAGCTTAAAAGACACCCTAAAGTAAAATAAAATATTGTCAAAAAGCATTCAGTTCAGTTCATTTCAAGATGCATTTCTATTGTTCAGCTTAATATCTTGTTCTTTGAAATTGGTGGCAGTAGTAAAATACATGTGTAGGACATCATCTTGGCCCACTTTTTCCCTGTTCCTTTAAAAAAAAAAAATGTAAAAGCACCCCAGCCCATCTTAGTATTTTTACTGACCTTCTCTATTAGTTAATGACCACATAATGGATGATGAACCATCACACACAGTTCAGATTATCTAAAACTAGTTTCATCTCAATGACTCGCTGACAACAGATTAAACAAGTGTCCGCTGGATACTAATATGCCAGTTGCAGGTTTAGTGACCTATTGTTCTGTCATCGGTGGATAAAAATGTAATGTATAATTGCAGAGTTGCATAATACATAAAGATGTATTCTAATGAAATGGAAAATTGTTTACAAATAACAACCAATGTAGTAATTTAGTGAAAAACTAGGTTTAGATAACAGCTAACTGATTGTGCAAGACTCCTACGCCAAGTCTGGAGTGTTCGTCATATTTGTTCCTACCTGAGAGAAGGTTAGAAATATGAGAAAAGTGATGAATTAAACGTTTTCTTCTAAATCCTTCATACAAACAATTTATTCAGATCTAATGTTCAGATTATCTCAAGATTTTTTTTTTCTTTTTGTGTCTCTGTGACTTTATTTCTTCTACAAACAATAATAGTGGGGACATCAGTAGAATCCATAGAATTTAGATAACCTTTTTTTCAAACTCTTATTGAATATTCCTTTTTCTTCTTCCCTCCTAAATAAAGAAACACATAAAGCATCAAAAACCATATGATGAACACCTGGTTTAGATCAGACACACAAACAACAGCAGCATTAATGATAAGAAGTAAAGAGTTGAGTATACAGTACCACTTTGTCACTGGACCTGCTGTTAAAGAAAAACATTGCTGGTATGTATCGGTTCATAACAAAGCCAACAAAAATACCAATCATGAAAAAAAATGGAATCACACCCTTAATTGTTGCAAGCATTTAAATCCAGAAATACTTGTTCTCATTTTGTAGCACGTGGATTACTGGAAAACACGTAGGCCAGTCTTACTATGAGACTACTGATTAGTTCCATGTGGAAAGGACAAGAACTTTTGGCTACTTAACCAGTACTGACTGGGAAACACAGTCCAAACCTTTTAGCCAGTACTTACCAGGAACACACAGCCAAGCCTTATTAGGGGACTACTGGATTGACACCACAGGAACAGAGGAGATATTTTCCATGTGGGTTCTGGATAAATCCTGCAGCAGTGAGGTCTTAGCTTGTTACTGTCAAAAAACAGTTTTTTGTTATTGTCTTTTGTAAACCTATTGAAAAACATTACAATAAGCAGCCCATTTTCACCAATCACTAATTTAGCATACAAGTTTAGCACATTTAGAATGTAATTTTAAATGGGTAAAATACTTTGGATGCAGCCGCCTATCTCCAAACCCAAACATGCAAGATCCCATCACTCCTCCTCTGGCTGCTCTCCATTGACACTGTTTGTGCTTGAATTCTTGTATTTGTCTTTAATGTCCTTACAGTCTTCCTCCTTCTTATCTTACAGATTTAATTCACCCTTACTATCTTAGACAGGCTGTAAGGTCAGATGATCAGCTGCTCCTTAGAGTTCCAAGGTTGAGTGAAGCCTTGGAATGGTTAGCCTCTCACAGTTTTGGCCCCCAAGTTAAGAAATGTGTTATGTTAGCATGTTAAGCAGGTTCCTTTACTGATGTCTTTTAGATTCTCCTTGAAGACCCATCTATATGTCTC